ACAGTACTACAGTACTACAGTACTACTACTACTACTACTACTACTACTACTACTAGTTACTACTGCTACTTCTACTACTGCTGCCGTTGCTGCTGCTGCTGCTGCTACAACTACTACTACTACTACTACTACTACGAAAACTACTACTACCACGACGACGACTACTACTACGCCTACTACTACTACTACTACTACTACTACTACTACTACAACTGCTACTACTGCCACTGCTACTGCTACGGCTACCGCGGTCACTGCCCGCTGCCACTGCCACTGCCACTGCCACTACTGACGATTGCTCCTACTATTTCTGCTACCACGACGACGACCAGAAGTACAGCTGCGACAGCGACTGCCGCTCAGGTCTTACTGCTTCCGCAAGTGCCGCTACTACTGCTACTTAGCCACTTCTGCTTATAACCAACGCGTATGACGGCGACGACGAGGATGACGGCCAACTTGCATCTCCTAGGGATGCCATCCGTTATTGGTTGATTGGCCTGGCTTCCTGCTGTTGTGTCGGTTTCTATGCCGATGATCGCCAACGTTAGCCGTCGTCTAGGTTCAGCCGCTAGCCTCGAGGCACTGCCCCTCTTGTTGTGCCTGCTATGCTCCAGCTGGCAGTCCGCTCTTATGTGGTGTCGGACATGTGTAGGGCCTGTGGCCAAGCGCGACGTTGCGCGCACGAATGGGGCCACGTTTGGCGACGGTAAGACACGGTGGAAAAGCGTGGACTTGCAGATGGGCTTGTTTTCACTTGCCAAATCAGGGTTTTTTTATAGCCTGTACTGCTCGCTGGAGGCAGCGGCGACGCAGAGGAGGCGATGTCCTGGCTGGAGGCAAAAGGGAAGCTAGGGCATGTTCTGAACACAGCAACGCCATGAACAGACTCAAGAGAGCAGTGGCTTGACGAACAGTAGTACTGCAGCCACCCGCGGCGGCCACACAGAGCACTTGTATGAAGACCCTTTCAGTAATCAGCAGTCATTTCGAAATCGTCTTCTTTCGAGCAGCAAGGAAGACATGGTTCTTTCTGAGCAGTGTTCCGTGAGCTGCAACTCCCTGTACCTGGGTGGAGCAGGCCCCCTCGGCTGATGAGGCTGACTTGGAGCAGCCTACAGAGGCCGGGCCAGTCTTCTGCCGAAGCAGATGCACGGCATATTGCAGTCTTTATGATGTTCGGGGTATCAGGGCTGCACCTCATGTGCTTCTAGCATAGTTGTGTCTGCACGGTCTTTGTAGGTGCTCGTCCGATTCCAAGTGCTCCCGCGGCTGTGGTAGCACTGCTGCTGCTGCTGCTGCTGCTGCTGCTGCTACTTCTCGGGAACCACTGATGTCGCGAGTGCTGTATCCGACCAAGTCCAGCCATGGTGGCAATAGCCACGGACGGTAGAGTCAATGGTGCTGCTGGTGCTGGTGCTGGTGCGGTGGTGTATGCCTGCGTATAGCGTCAGCTTGACCATACACTCGCCACTGCAGCCTTTTCATTGCGGAAATTGCTACATGGGTGTTTCGTTGCCGTCTTCTTTCTGTTGCAGTGTCGTGGACATTTTCAGTTCTCACAAAGCGCCTGGCCAAACCTTCCCACGCATGTTCTCGCGTGTCTTTGCAAAGTGGTGGCTTGGCTAATCCTGCCGTGCGCATTTCTCGCGCAGAAGTCCGTGTCCGCACTGGGGGTTTCCGAAAATAGGGGGTACCTTATTTTGGGGTCCTTATAATAGAGATCCTACTATATTTGGGGTACTATATTAGGGTCCCCTATTTTTGGGAACCCCCAACTAACACTGAACCACAGCTGTGTTCTGTTGAAGTTGTCCGACAGTGGCGCTGAAGTTGCTGCTTCTGCTTTGGACGGTCTCTTCCCGTCCCTATTTTCGGCAGGTCGTGCGCGATCCCATGGAAGAAGATCCGGAGAACGCAGAAGACCTCTTCGGATCCGCGTATTTCGACGAGGCCTTCTGCTCTCCGGGGTGTTTCAGAGACTGTTTAATAGCCAATTTACATCATTTGATGTGTAACTGAGATATGTGATATACCTTGTGATATATGTATATATGTATATATATATATATATAATACACAGTACAAACCTATATACATATAATATATATATATATATACACACACACATATATATATATATATTTATTTACTATATATATATATATATAGATGTATTTATTTATTTATTACATATTGTGTACTGCACATAGTATAGCGCGCTTTGGCAGGCGGCCGAGCCATCCTCCCCTGTTGTGGAGGACCAGGCGGCACACGGAGCATCGTTCACGAAAAGACATTGACAAAGTGGGAGCTTCACGCTCCCGAATCCCGAATGTTGCAAACTTTTTTTGTCACAAACTTGGGATTGAAGTGTTTCGGAGAGATCGTTTTTAGGATTCCGAATCGAAGAAGTTCCTGCCGGCATCTGCCGCGATCTCACAGGAGCTGGCTCCTGAACTTCGCCCATCGAAGCGGCTAAGATGCGAACCGCCGGAGCTCGAAGTCGACGTGCTCGAAGAGGCACCGAAATAACATAATGTAGTTCAACATCGTATATACTCTAAGGTTGAACCCATGGGCCCCTAACATGGGCCCTTAGGGGATTCTAGGGCCCTTTAAGTGTAGATATAGGGTATACAGTAGGTATATTAGGGTCCCAGGGTTAAGGGCCCATACTAGGGGCCCATGGGTTCTACCTTAGTTAGATATATAAGATTGCATACTATACTCTATGCTATAATACACTGAAGCATAATGTAATATAAGGACCCGGTTTTTTTCACCTCGCTGCTGCGGCCAGGAGGAGGAAGTGGAGATGGCTTGGAGCCGGTCGCCGCCTTCTTCTGATGTGGCAGGCGGATCTGCAGCAAAAGTTGTATTGCAGGTGCTGTCAAGTGAGCGAGTCTGAGGAGTGCCTGCCGATTGATCCATACTGTATTGCAAGCTCTCGTTGCTTCATGGCTTGTGCACTTCTTCGATATCCCGGCAAGAGGGTCAGTTAGGTTTAGCTGTTTAGTTTGCATCTCCCGAAGTCTTTTCTCACCATCCTGACCTCCCAGGCCGCCTCGCATGCACTCCGCCGCAGAGTCTGGGTGCGCTGTCGCATGTGGAGGAGGTGCCTTGGATGGAGTGGCAGGTGGAACATGAGTTTAGCTTGTTCTAGTTTCGAGACGAGGAGAACTGTGAGAGGCAGCCGGCAAAGCATGGAATCCAAGGTGCTGCAGATGGAAGAGGATGAAGATGCAGCGGAGCAAGACGCAGAGGACAAGGAAGAGGAAGAAGATCCAAAAGAGAATGCTCAGGGCTGGGATCAGCAGGAACAGAGAATTTTCAACTCTTCAAGCATCTCCTCAAGCCCGGGCGCGGAAAGCAATGCACTCGCAAACGAAGCACCGCTAAAAGAGGGCCGTGGCAGTGCCTCCTCCGGGCTGGGCCCTGCTGGGGGAGTTCCTGCACCTGTGATCCAATCGTCAACGAAGGCCTGGCCTGACGTTGAACTCCAAATGGGGGTTTCAGAAAATAGGGGACCCTAATAATGTAGTACCCTAAATAGTAAGATCCTTATTATAAGGACCCCAACATAGGGTACCCTAATTTTCGGAAACTCCCAAATGCAGCCATGCCATTTTGCTACGAAGTGGTCCTGGCTTGGAAGCAAAGCACCCTTGACTCGACACCCGTTTGCCTCGTCCGGTGCATTGGGTGTGCGATTTCGCGGTCCGTCTGGAGTTTCGCGCGGCATCCCGGAAAGTTGACCCTTCCGGCCATGATGTCGGACTCCGCGTAGACCCTAAACCCTAAACCAACCGGTTTGGTGTAGTTAAGCAGCCGGCGCAGGTAGACATCGTGCAAGATGTGCCAGAGTGCGAAAGCCCTGGGCCAACGAAAACAAAGGAGGCACACCGTGGCAGCTCTTCCAGCCCCAACGCAGTGGTCGTAATACCGATGAAGTCACGTGAGGGCATGACAGCGCATGTGTGGCATGCATCCATGCCATAAGCGCGTTCAAGAACAACAGTTGTTATGACGATGCCAGCATGAAGGCGCACACAGCACTGGCACTGACAAGATTGCACTGCGCCTTCCTCATTACCGGCAGCATCGGCACCGTCAGTCCCTCTCTAGCCAACTCTGTCTCTCTCTCTCTCTCCCTCCTTTCGCTGTCACTGACACTCCGAGTATGCTTGTTTGCAAAGGCCCAGCTATCACTTTGTCGGGGATCTTGTTGTGCGATTGTCAGCACAAAGTATTCGCAGCAACTCGTCCCGAGCGTTGACTTGTCAGGTGGCACAGCCAGCGGCTGAGACCGAACCATTCTCCTCCATTCTGCCGCGGCCGGCGCGAGGAGGTGTCTCGCACTGCGATTTGTCCCAAGTGGATGCAGGTGGCTGTTATGATTCACAGGTTATGGTGCGAAACTCCCATGTGTTTTTGGCTAATTTTGTCAGAATTGAGTTTTGTCACGCAATCCTGCTGTCTTTTGGCTGTGGCGTAGCCAAGCCTTATGTCAGCTGCCGCTGTTGCAATTGCTGCTGCTATCGCCACCACGCTCTGTTTTATTCCTACAGCATACTTGGCTTCCGTTGCTGCTCCTGTCTTTGCTAGCACCACCGCTGCAAAAATCAATAGTGGTAGTAGTAGTAGCCATAGTAGGAGAATGCGGAGCAGCAGCAAAAGGATTTGAATAGAAGCATTATCATTATTATTTACTATAATACAATACAACATAATTAGCGCACCATAATAGGATACACGGTAACATAATATAATACAGTAAATACAAGACAGCACATTATAATCAGACATATGATATAATATTTTGTACTAGAATACAATACATTGTAATACAACAGAATATAGTACGTATAACAATGTAATTCAATATATCTCATTATATAATGTAGCATAAGACAACCTGGCACAATGCAATATAGCATAGTATAACATTACAGAACGTAACATGATACAATACAACTTAGTATAGCATCATATAACATGATATAACATAACATAGTATAGCATAGTATAGCATAAGATAGCATAAGATAGAATAATATAACATAATATAGCATAATATAGCATCGTATAACTATATGTATATATATATATATAGTTGAGTTCAATATTATATATTACAGTACCAGCAAGAAACCGGTACCGACGCCACCGGTATCTGCCCCCCACCCAGGGCAAGCCTCGTCGAGCCAAGCGACGCTGCAAGTGGAGGAGGCCCGACAACCGAAGCCACATGGCGTGTGATAGCATATATGTATACACACACACATATATATATAATATCTATCAGAAGTATATTCTAGCATATCATGTAGTGTATTATTATTCTATTTTTCAAGACGCGCTCGAGGTTGTTTCTGACGAATGCATGATGTGAGCAAATCTGCTGGCAAGGATGGCGCGAAGAGAGGCAACAGCACGAGAGCAGCGGCAGACGAGTCGTAAGCACTCCTGACAGTGGCAATCTACGCCAAACACAGGACATCGGCATGTCAGACAGACGAAGCCACGGAGCAGGAGCAGCCATCGCCATTCATTGCGGTACTAGTAGCGGGTAGTCATACATGCAGCGGCCATGCAGAAGCCCTGATGACTCAGCGTTATCGTTTCATTCGCCAGCGTTGTCCTTGCGGCAACGTACAAAACCATCGTATAGTGGGCTGCGGAGCATTTCATGGGCGTTCTATCGCCACCCACCCAGACACAGCCGTTCCACTGGGAAGCAGCATAGCAACGGGTCTTCCGTAGCTGGGAAGGTCCGGATCGGATCACAAGCTGCATCCGCGTCGTCCGCTTCTGGTACCTGGGCCTATTATGGAATCCTAAAGGGAGGGGGTTCTAAGGGGGGTAGATAACCCAGTAACCCCCAATTCTCCCTAGGACTCCCTTAGGTTCCTTAAGGCTCCCTAGGACCCTCCCCCTTGAGCCACCCTCCCTTAAGGATCCTATAAGCCTAGGTACATTCGACTTTGTTGCGCGGGGCCGTGGGGTTGACGGCAAACGTCTTGAAGTGCAAAGCCTGGATTCGATGGAAGGTGAATATAATGAATAATGAGTATATCATAATGTAATGGAATATTAATATAGCATAATAACATAGAATACATTTGATAATATGCTATACAAGATAATATACAAATACAGTAATAATACGGCATAATACTTTCATAACATAATACGAACCCTAAACCCTAAACCCTAAACCCTAAACCCTAAACCCTAAACCCTAAACCCTAAACCCTAAACCCTAAACCTTATGAACTCCCGATCCGAGGTCCCAGAGCTCCAAGTGAGCCCAAAGACGCCGCCGTGTTGCCCACGCCCACCAGCGGCCTGGCAGAAACTCCGAGCCCTGTTAAAGCGTGTACTGCGTTTAGGGTTTAGGGTTTAGAGGTTTGGGGCAGGAAAGGCCGGAAGTATCTCAGAGGGAGAACTTTAAGCTTTTTGGGTTTTGTATGTTTGGTCTGTAAAGAATCGGTTGAACCTTTTTGGAGCTTGGTCAGAGAATTGCGTAGATATCCTAGTATAACTTCAGGCATATCCTTTATGGGAACCGTATTTTAATACCCTCATAGGTTCCCTTAAAGAAGCCACAATTGCATAAAGTTGCTGTTTCCTGGCGCAGGGTTGTTGTCAATTGCACGTCGATCGCGCAGGCAGTGCAAGAGCCTCGCCGCTGCTCGTCGATCCGGCTGCCGAGGCAGGTTTTGACCATGAGTAGTAGGGTTGAGGGTTTAGGGTTCAGGGTAGCACGGCAGTTCCGGGCGAGAGAAGCCTGCTGCAAAAGGGTTCAGGGTAGTCTGAAACTGCTGCAAAGGCCGCAGCCAAAACTGCTGCAGCCGCTGCGGCTTCGAAGATGGCACCAAAGCCGACGCTTTGCTGAACTCGTCCGCATGTGCTTGAAGATTCACCAGCTCTTTTCTGATACTGCTGCCAGGGGCAGCATTTCCGCAAATGCGGACTCTGCAATCGATGGAGTGCCCTGTGCTCAGCTCTTGTGACCGGGCCGAGGTACCAGACATGACACGATGCTCTTGAAGATGGTCGTCTACCTACATATTGGCCTAGCTGCCTGCCTACTTACCCACCCACTACCCACCTACCGATCTACTTACCTAGCCACCCACCCACCTATCCAGCTACCGAGCCAGAAAGCACATGCCCATGTTGATGCAGCCTGCGTGCGCGTACGTCGGTGGGTAGGTGAGTGCTTGTAGGTGGGTGAGAGGGTGGGCCGGGATAGGTGGATGGGTGGGCGAGGCGGGTCGATAGGTCGGTAGGCAGGTGGGTAGGCAATTTAGAATTTGATAGATGGATATGCATGTATTCAGCACGCATACAAACATGGACAGAGAGAGCCAGATAGATTGATTGAGATATATATGCATGCATCCGTGAAGCCTCGCCCTGGCCGGGAATTCCCTTGCTTCAGGTGGTGCACGACGCACTTTCAATACCGCTGGCGCTGCCGACAGGATGGTGTCTGTGATGCCTGTGAGGCAGGCTGGACAGTGGAAGACGTTCCCATGATCACCGGCCATGATGGTGACATAGTTCTCGGGATGGCAGCTGATTTCTGGTACCACATCCTCGCGTCTCGTTCGACGAAGTACACCCTAGACCTGCTTGTGCCACTCCTTCAGTGTCGGAACAGCCCCAAGTTCACGCAGAAATTTTGCGTGGTAGACGAGGCAGGCCAGGCATCTGCAGCTCAGCCGCAGCCTGCCAGCTCCACAGGCCTTGCCCCTACTTGGAGGTTATAAGTGGAGTTATAAGTCCCTTAATATAGGTTATAAGTATAGTTACCCTACTTATAAGCACACTTATAACTACCCATGAACCTCCAAGTAGAGCATTCTTCAGCTGTCAATGCTGCACCCTGAAAACCCTATAGGCCCCAGTCAGGTTCCGGCAGAGGAAAGGCAAAGGGCAAAGGGAAGAGCAGCGCGGGAGGCGCACGCCCTGCCTTGCCTCGAATTGGATTTGTTTTTTTTTTGTTCCCGTTTTTTGCATGGGGTGTGTCGTAGCAGTTTGGGTACCTAACAACGGACCCCACACCCTAAACCCTAAACCCTCAACCCTAAACCCTACCCATGTCTCTTTCAAATTGCCAGGGGCTGAGGAAGCGACGCTCGGAGATGATGAGATGGAGGACTTTGGATGGCATGCAGACGACCTTGCAGCGGTCACCGCCCATTTAGGTTCTTTCGTGGGTATGGCTAGACTTGAGTCCAGTATCGAAAAGGGTGGAGGGTTTAGGGCCTAGTAGCTAAGTCCTAAACCTAAACCCCTATCGGCTCGTCTGGTGGAGTCCGAGTTGAGAGAGTCACACATGTCAACGTAGCAAGTTCGAGACCTGTGAAGCCATGCCTGCGTGCAAGTGTGTGAGTCCAAATCCGTTTAATATAGGGGCCCTAATAATTAGAATAGGGTTTGGGGATATATTATACTAATTTAATAATTAGAATAAGGAACCGGGTTTGGGGATATATAATACTATAATCATAAGAAGAACACCACCCAAAAACCCTATTCGGATTATTAAGGCCCCTATATTACTCACCCTACGTAACCCTGAACCCCAAAGCCAAAACCCTATTCTATTTATTAAGCCCCCTAAACCCTAAACCCCTAAACCCTAAACCCTAAACCGTAACCCGTAATTAGATGCAGTCTACATGAACATCGTGGAAGACTACTGAATTGGATGCTTGTGGAAGCCCCTGAGACAACCTCGCCTGTGAGCATAGTTCCCTGCCATGCGAGAGGGGAAAAAACCCTAACCGTAACCCTGAACCCCAAAGCCAAAACCCTATTCTATTTATTAAGCCCCCTAAACCCTAAACCCTCAACCCTAAACCTTAAACAAAAAGGGAAAAACTTCTATTTATTAGGGCCCCTAACCCGCTCACCAAGAGGAGCTGGAGTTCCAGCGTCTTGCTGCAGAGCTCGAAGATGAGCATCGGGAGCTGCGGGCTGAGGCCAGCAATGGTCGCCAGTAGCCGTATAAGTCTTTGGGGTTTAGGGTTTAGGGTTTAGGGTTTAGGGCTTAGGGTTTAGGGTTTAGGGTTTAGGGTTTAGGGTTTAGGTTTAAGTTGTAAGGTTGTAGCAAAGGATCACACACTGGCAGAATAATATAGTAGAGGTGCTTTATACTTGGGTTGCGGCTGAAAGCTATCAGAGGTCAAGGGAGCGAGGGAAAATGTGGGCAAATGACATGCCGGACTCTTCGAACTCGTCGCGTTAGGGTTTAGGCCTTAGACGGGGCTGCTGGACAACGAGGCCTGTTGCAAAAAGTGTTTAGGGTTTAGGCTAAGCTTGTTTTGCACAGCACTGTTATTGGCTCAGGGTCACGCTGAACCCAAGAATTGTGTGCGAGTGCGCAAGTCGAAACCCAACATTAGTATCGGCTCAAGGGTCGCTTTCGTATAGAGCCGAAGACTGTACAATTTTAGGATACTTTAGGCCATGGCCCAAGTTTGTGTGGCCGTCTCCCTTGAGAGAATCGCGAAGGACTCCGAAGTCTTTTCGACTGCATCCCCGGCTACATCCGTAGAGACCTTAACGACTGCTCTGGAGGAGAACTACAAGGTCAAAAAAGTGTTGGGCCAGGGTAAGTTCGGACGAGTTCAAGAAGTCGTTCGAAAAGGAACCAAGAAAAGGTTTGCGGTCAAGGTCGTAGCATCCAGCAAGCAGAGCGAAGACGAAGTACAGCTACTGGCATCCCTGCGCCACGGAAACATCGTGTGTCTGCACGATTCGCTGGAGCAGGATGAGATGCTGTACATTATCATGGAGCTCTGCAGCGGGGGGACCCTGAAAAGCTGGATCGAAGATCGACAGGACGAGCACCTGAACGTGCAGGTGTACACGGCTCCACCCAAGCGTGTTTTTGCAAACTGCATGTGGCAGATTCTCGATGCCCTTAAATACCTCCATGGGAGGGGGTTCGTGCATCGTGATATCAAGCTGGAGAACCTTCTCTTGCTGAAGGCTGGCCCATGTCCGCAACTGAAGCTTGCAGACTTTGGCATGGCAACGGAGTTTCAGAAAGGAGAGCTGATGACCCAGCGATGTGGCTCCCCTGGCTACATGGCCCCTGAAGTCCTTCGAGGTGGCTACACCGAGCTTTGCGACCTCTGGAGTATGGGGGTCGTGTTCTACCAGATGGCCACAGGCAGGAGGTTGTGGCTTTTCACCCGGACTCATGAGCAGCACTACGACCAGGTTCTGGCAGAGACCCCCCTCACCCTGAAGTCCAATGCTCCTAGGTTCCCCAGTAGTACCCTTTTGCCCTTTTTCTTTTTGGGTTCCCCTATTAAAACCAAACAGTAGGAAAAAGGTACACTTATGATGAAGGGGCTACTGGGGAACCTAGGCTCATTGGAGTCGCCTTGGCCCTGGTGCTCTGGAAATGGCACAAGATCTCTTGAGCCTAGAGTGCAGCCGGCCAACGGCCGCGTGTGCCATCGAGAACGACTGGCTGCGAAAGTACGTGCTTGGCGGCGATGACCGGTGCTGCTCCATCAGCTGATGCCGAACTCTCAATGCTTAGCCATGCTGGGCCTGCCTAGCCGCCCTAGCCCTCATACATACAAGTAGGATTTACGCCAACCTTGTTCTAAGAATTAGCAGCTTCTTATGATTCTAATGGTCAAAGCCGCTTCTACCCCGACCTGCTTCAAGCGAGCCGATTTTCTGCGTTTCTGACATCACAGGCCCATGTCTTTTCCGCACACGACGTTTTGAAGCTGGATTCCGCAAGAGACAAGATCTGTCATGTAGCCCCGTCTGTTGTTGGACCCCTATATACCGTAAAACATGTTCGAAAGAGAGAAAGTAGACAGACATTGGGCTCTTGGCATCGTCCGGCTGTCCCATTTCAACCGTCCTGCCTGCTGACGCATACTTGCCCCGCGTTGCGTCGAACGCGCGCGATCTCCGCAAGTGCAGTGTTCGGCATTGAGAGCACGACACCGTAAGCTGTCAGGCATTGCAATCTTGTTAGCAATGGTTGCTGCAGATCGATTCGTTCGCAGTCTTCCACGTAATTAGGTCACACGGATCAGAGATGATTAGAGCCCCTGCTGAAGTGTTGTTAATGGTAGATTTTGCAGAGAGACAGTATACTTATACCGCGCAAGTGCAGCCGAACAATGGGTCGCTTTTGTGTGAAGGCTGGGTGCTTGCATGAACGGGATGCTCCTGCTTTTGAAAGGGCGCCGTCCAAGCTTAGCAATGACTGACCATCACACTCTGCTCATCAAAGGACCCTGACCTGACCTGCCTAGTCAACCAGACTTGCCCCAACAGATTTCAACTCTGTGCAGATGGCCGAAGCCATCTCCACGGACATGGAGACTTTTAAATAGTTCAGCACAGACCGGAGGGGGCAACTGATGCCCCTGCACTTTGTTGTTGGCCCGGTGTAGCTGACGTTGTCATTGGACATCAGCCAATCCGGCCACAGTGTGCGATCACGGTGTCATGGTGTATTAGAATTCTGGGTTTTATTATGTTGTTCTATCTTTTCTTATCTTAATCTCACAAAGTGTTATCCTATCTTATCTTGCCTGATCTTATGTCACCCTATGCTGGATTTCATTGTTTTACGGGAGGTCAGATTCGAGGATATTCTGCTTCGTTTCGCTATGCCATATATACATATACACACACGTCTGTATGTGTATATATATATATATATATAGATTCTCATGTATGCATGGGCATGTCTGCCCCTCTGTACAGCGAGCGGTGTTTTCGAAGGCGAGGGGGCGCACATGCAAAGTTGTGCTTCAAATCTTGTCCTTCCAAGTGCTGGCTGCAGAGGTTCCATGGTTTGCGAAGGCATCATGCTACAAGAGCCTCAAAAAATGCTTCTTAGGGCTTGGCATGGGCTGGGAATGTGTCATTGGTGTCACTGTAGCAAGTTGCAGCAGAGACCCGTGGACGAGCCTTGCCTGGTGGGACCGTGAGCATCGAAAGCCCCCTAAACCCCGAAGTGCCGAAACCTAAACCGTAAACCCTAAACCCGAGAGTTTCCGGCAGGCTCGCCGCGCAAAGCGAGGCGCTGATGTTGTCACGCCGGAGATGCAGGCCTCCCCTCGTCTTCAGAAGGGGTTTAGGGCTAGGGTTTCAGGGTTTAGGATTTGGGTTTAGTAGGGTTTGAGGGTCTAAGGGTTGCGGGAAGGGTGACTATGGGTCATTATATGTCTGAGGGTTACCAGACGGCTTCATTCTGTTGCTGCGAGTACGCCGATTCTTCCCTCAGCGTCTGTGCAGCAATCCCCCCTTCTCTGCAAGCTCTGTCGCAAACCTTCCTGTAACCGAACACGAACCCTCATAACAACCCCTTATAATAACCCTTATTCAAAAGAGCCCCTATCGCAACATGTCGAGACCCCAGAGCCCCCTGAACTCTAAACCCTAAACCCTAAACCCTAAACCCTAAAACCCTAAAACCCTAAAGCCCTAAACCCTAAACCCTATGAGGCTGACGTGGAGGCCTTGCTGGAAGCTCTCGGGATTCCTTACGTGCATGCGCCGGCGGAGGCCGGGCCCTTAGGGTTTAGGGTTTAGGCTCTAGGGTTTAGGGTTTAGGGTATAGGGTTTCGTCGGAAGTTTCGGGACCAGATGATCCGATTGGACATTGCATTGCTGGCTACCGTTGTCTACACATACATCCATACATACATGCATCTGTATATATATGTATATATTTACACAGACACATGCATGTCATATCGGCATACATGTGTGTGTGTGTACGGATGTGTACATGTCTTGTAGGTTTGCAGCGCCCTCCCCAAATAGATTCAACGACCTCCGTACAGCGCTTGGGGTCCGGGTGATCATCGGGCGGCTGTTCTACCCTTCCAAATCGCAGTTGAATTCAGGGTCCTTGGTTTAGGGTTTAGGGTTTGGGCATTCAGCAAGTCCAGATGTAAACAAAGGGTTTAGGGTTCCTTGTTCTCGCATGTTTTTCTAGAGGGTGCTGTGTCCTGCTTCTCAAAGAATGAAACTGTCTGCAAGCTGACTCGACCCGAGGCTGAAGCACAGTGTGCCTTTCTGGCAGAGGCTGGGAAGCCTCTCTCTCTGTCACCCTCCCTCGCATCATCTCGATCTGGATCGCGAGCATTCCCTTAGGCGAACAGGGAAGATAGAGAAATCTAAACGGCGTATACATATGCATGCATACACCCGCAGACGGACAGACACAGACACTTTGATATAGGTATGATAGATAGAGACCTGCACGAAAATACTTGCAAGCGCCTATGAAATCGCTTCTCATATATATCTACATAGGTGTGCCGGTACGTAGCTATGCCATAGATATGCACATGTAGTTTCCGGCACGGTGACGGCTCACTCACAGTGTTTTGCGGCACGCATAGTAGTAATAATAGTAATAATAGTAATAATAGTAATAATAGTAATAATAGTAATAATAGTAATAATAGTGATAATGATACTAATAGTAATAATAATAAAAATACTAATAATAGTAATAATAGTAATAATGGTTTTTTCTGCGGCAGCCAGGCAAGGCTTGTGGATGCCGTGGCCTCTGATGACTCGGACGTGCTGGTCTTTGGAGCCCGTCGCTTGACCGGCAGGGAGTGAGTTGAAGGTTTAGGGTTTAGGGTTTAGGGGTTTGATTTGTCTGGCCCTCAGTTTTCTCTCCTTTCAGGGGTACCCGGCAGTTGCAATAGGCCTGGATGCAAAAGGGTTTAGGGGTGTGATGCATCTGGGAAGTACCGACAGCTTGGGAAATTCATATCGACCCTTGGCAAGAGTTCCTGAAAATGAAAAAACCCCGAAGTCACCACCGAAACCACACCGAATCCTTCTAGAAAAGCGCTGGCAAGGCGAAGTGTACAGGCGGCTTTTCTCCGAGGACGGCCATCGCAGAAGTATCTGTCGCTTGATGACAAGACTCGGATCCTGGAATCCAGGGATTTAGGGTTTAGGGGTTAGGAGTTTAGGATTCCAGGATCGAGCATCGAAGTGGTGATATAGCTTTGTCGGTCTTTCGGCTCAAAGGCACATCCGGCAACCAACATGTCCGCAGAAAAAATGCAACCCGCGGCAACGGCATGCATTCGGGAGCCAGCGCCTGCTGTATCAGTCCTTAATCTGTAACCTGACCTCGCAGACTGACGTTGGCAAGACCTTGATACGGAAGTGTCCACGAAATAGTGCCGCAAGCCCTGAGTTGTAATTATCGCATGCGCTGACACCAGATCTTCCACTTGTGGCGTCATGGCTTCACAATACGAGACGATTGTGCTGCTTATTTGCGATTGGGGAAGTGTGCCGTGGATGCTGCAAATTAGAGGGATGGGAGACACAGCTTCACGTTTAGTTACCTGGTGCCGCTGCTGCTTCTTTGGGCGACATGGCAGCTGGTCCAAACCCTTTTTGGGTACCTGGGGTCAAGCTCCAGGACATCTGATGCGCTTGTCATGTCTAACTGAATCGGGACGGGCCACAGACGGCTCAACATGTCATGCATCACGTAGATGCGCGCATCCGTTCCCCGAGCGGTCCTCGCGGTTCTAATGGTGACATGCGTAGTCTGTGTACATCTAGTCCGTTTTCATCGACCGCATCTTTGGGACACAAAGACTGGTACTGTCAAGGGGGTTTGCGGAGCTTGTGAAGAGTGCTCTGCGCTCTTCCACATTGAGGTGGAGGAGTTTGAGTCGCCTTAGGAGAAGGCATGGAAGGAGTTCTGCAAAACCGCAACTTAAGGAAGTCCCGTTTAATGGTCCGTGACTATGTCTCTGTGGCAGTGCCTTCGTATTTGCACGACATGCGGTAGCAGCGGAAGATTTTTATCTGCAGAAGCTCCCGGGATGTCCCAGGAGCCCGAAACAGGCCCAGGGCTGTGTTTCCAAAGCCAGCGGCGGAGGAGTTGCTGCTTCAGGGCATGATCATCAACATTGTCGTCATTGTTGTTTTTTTGCCTAGGCTTAGGGTTTAGGGTTTTAGGGTTTTGGGTTTAGGGTTAGTGATCATCATCAACATTGTCGTCATTGTTGTTTAGGGGTTGGGGTTTCGGGTTTGTAGCTGCTGTTAGCTTACCGTCGGCCCTCCCAAATCCTGAATCTGAACTTGTCGGGGTATCAATCACTTCTGCCAGCAGGGCCCCGCAAAATAAAATTCCCTATATGTCTCTATATGTCCTCACAAATATAGTAATATAGTCCCTTTATAACTACACTAGAAGAAGCCGCGAAGTGCTCCAAGGTGAAGCCTCTGCAGCCAGCGACCCGGGTCAATCGAAGTGCAGTTGCCGAGGACGGGCGCATCCGACACAGCTCTTCTGAGTAATATGGGACTTTCCGAAAATTAGGGGTACCTTATTTTGGGGTCCTTATAATAAGGATCCTACTATTTAGGGTACTATATTAGGGTCCCCTATTTTCGGAAACCCCCATATAGGGAACAGTTAGAATAGGGGTTTCGGGGCCCATGACACTATAATTATAATAAGGAACCCCCAAAATAGTATTGGGAATTATTGAGGCCCCTACTATTGTGCGAGACCCCAACAAAGGATCCTTATGATGATGCGCAACAAGTAACAAGATCCACCTTGCTGTAATTAAGCTGCCCTACCCCAGAGGGTCCATATAAACTACTATCGTGGAATGATGTCCCAAAACCATACGTAGTAAGGATGGTCTTTTGGGGCGTAATTCCATAATGGTAGTATATGAGATAGGGGCCTAAATAATAACCCATACTATTTTGGGTTCTTTATTATGACTAGAGTAATATATACGCCGAAACCCTATTCTAGCTACTAAGGCCCCTACATTACTCACCCTAAACCCTGAACCCTAAATCCTAAACCCTATTCTGATTGTTAAGGCCCCTACATAATGGACCCGGAATTACCATGGGTTGAGAGGTCTGGCCGAGCCTCTTCAGTTGCTGCACCGGAAACTTGGCCAGCAAGGAAACATGCCACGCCTCTCCCCACACAGATGTTCTTGCTGTGGGCGAGGACGCCTTGTTTAGGGTCTTTATACTAAGGATCCTACTGTTTCGGGTGCTATACTAGGGTTCCCTAGTTTCGGAAACCCTCATATAAGCAATCCCACACTCTACAGTCGCGGAGCCTGAAATCCAAACCAATGGATGCAGGAGGTGTACATATGTAGCCAGACTTAGCTCGCTCCGGCCAAGGTGGTCGGCCTGAGGATCGCGCGGACGAAAGCTCCGAAACCGAGGGAGGCAAGGACTCAAATCACGGGGTGGTGGAGATCAACTCTGGTTTCGAATGCCAGTCTCAGTCCACTCGTCTAAACCCACAGCCCTCAAGGGATGTACGGCCCAGCTCCCAGGTCTAGCGTCAAGGAGGGATCACACCCGGCGTCATCCTCCGCCCGACAGGGCAGGGGCAAACCCAGCGTCACCGAAAGGCCTTTTATAATGCAGGAATACTCACGGTCTCATGCATCCCAGCACACCAATCAAAACTGCTCACACCTTCATCCCATGCCCGACAACCACAAGCTCTACGTCGCTACACCTATGATTGCAGATCTCGGAAGGCGTCATGGAGTACAAGTTCGGGTTTCCGCGCTCCAAGCTGTACAGTGCCTTGTCATCCGTTTTCCAGGTTAGGTCATGAGGGCTGAGGGCTGATCATGCGCGTGTCTAGAGTCTAGCGCTTTGGATGAATGCCGTCTGATAAGGTCATTCAGGGCAGCAGACTTGATTTGACAGGAAGCGGAAGCGTGCATGGTTGCCAAAAGATTGACCCGTTTTGCTGCCCTTTTGAAGGTACAAATTTTTCACCCGAAAACGAGGATCCGGTGCAGCCCAGATGTTGACAGCAGCTCTTTGCTTCTTCCGGTAGGGTCGAATGGCATTGCTTCTTTCAGTCGGACTTTGCATGCCATGGCGTGGAGCTTGGGTGCTGGGGAGTCAAAAGTCAAAAAAGCTGTGAACCGGAAACTTCCGAGACCTGCGGCCTTTCGCAAATCCTGAAGTCACGTCCCCGAAGTTAAACTTAAAGCCTGGCAGCTCAAACAAAGGGCTTCAGATTGATCCCACAAGTGGTTTTGCAAGGGCTTTATAGGCAGAGGGCGGGAAGGGGGGGAGGAGGTACATGAAAGTGTGGTATTCAGACCGGGGTAAGCCTAGTACAAGTTCGAAGCCGCTTGAAGGACTTAGATGCCCTGCTGCGCGCCGCACTTCCTGGACAGCCGACCACGATGATTCGGCGATCGCTGCCGCTTCAGCAGAATCAAGCATTATCCAGCATGTCCATAAGGCGCTGTGCATCAGTGGTTCTGGCGTTTTCCTGGATGGGTGTTGTGGTCAGTCGTGCAGGTTGGGGATGTGTGCTTGCTTGAGTGATTCAGAGGGCAAGTGATTTGTGTGGTTCCAAGATATGCGTGGATGTTGGCTGCTAGTTTTGCAGGAGCCAGGCCACGGTTGAAACTTTTTGTTCCGAACCGATCGACCTTACACATGACGCTTGAACATGCAACAGCAGCAGCAAAGAGGACTTTCAGAGATGGATGTGCATATAGATGTGACAAGATCGACAAAACGACTCGTTCGCGTTACGTTCCACAGACCGCAACCTTTCGCATGCTTCTGAACCAGTTTGAAGGTCGGGAATTCTAGGCAACTGCCAGACCTTCAGGCATTCGGAAGCTATTGAAGCTATTGAAAAGATCATGGAAGATCCGTATTCTAAGTGTCCCGAATCTTCCGACATGCCAATCAGGCTGGAACTCCGCCACCTGGCAGAGGCAGGGAGGAGCTGTTGAGCTGACGAGGTAGGCCATAGGTGCAGCTCTGGCAGATGCCCGACCATAATAGAATACCTAATACCAATACTAATCAAGAATATGAAGTTGTAGTATTCCTAGTTACGAATGCTGGTATTCTTCCTTCCCACAACCATGAGGACCTGCAAGCTTCTGGATGGGTTCAGCCACGAGACCCTCGTGTTCTACTGAGGCGCGGTCAGTGGTTTTCTGGAGATCTAGGAGCGTAAGCCGGGGTTACACGTGGAAAACTCTACACTGAACACGGTGTCTCAAGAACTGGCATGATTCGGAACCCTATACACCCTGGACTTTCATGCAAAAAAAAGACCCTGGACTTTGCCCCGGCATCAAGAGAGAGGCCGGAATGATTGGCTGCAGCCCCCTGTCCTTGCACAGGTTCCTCCTGGCAAGAAACTGCAATGTCCAACAAGCTCTGGACGGGAGCCAGGGTCTTGTCATAGCAGGCTTTCAGAGTAGTCATCCACAGTGGTGTTATCGGCTCCGCCAGCACGAAAAAAGCGATCCGAAGTTTCCACAACTTGTTGGGTTGCACGTTGTCAGTGCTGCTCCCCGTGCGGAGGACATGATACAGGCAACCATTCAATGGCGCCTTGATAACAACGTTGCTGATGTGCTTCCCCGATGGGACAAGGCGACTCGCATGAAGCAAGCGGGATGGGTCCTGAAAATCCGGCCATTAGGGCCTTTAAGGGTCAGACTTGTCGATTTCGACTCTGAAGTGGTCTTCGTGTGCAAGTGTTCAGTCTCCCATGGTGCTGCTGCCTGCTACGCGGCTCCCTGCCCGTGGTCCTTTTCAAAAAGAGCTGTCAAGTGGAGTATCAGCATCCGTGCGGGCATACTGGCGGAGTATGAAGTAAGCAAGACAAAGAGATGCCTTGCAAAGACAAGGGGTGTCGGGACGAGCTTCACACCAGAATTGAGGCCAAAGGACCGTAAAAAGATCGCAGTGTGCAGACTTGCGGGCTTTGCAGTAGGAAGTGCCTCACCTCCAGGCCGTTCGATGCGACAAAGGAAAAGAAAGAAGCAGAGAGACACAGAGCGGGAAGTACCGCAGCATGACAGAACAGGTAAGAAGCAAGGGACCGAACTGGAATGGAACGAAGAGAAGGACAGAGAGAGCGGGGAGAGTTGACCGGACCTCTATGCTCTACGAGAGAGAACGAGCTTTAGGCAGTTGACTGCAGGTCCGAAGAAGGGATGGCTCGTCTGTTGTACTTAAAGGATCATGGGACTTCGTGACCCGGGTTATTATTCGGGTAACTATACCTATAACTACTTATAATCCCAATTAAGGCACTTATAACCATACTTACTAAGTCCCATGATCCTTCATGTAAGGAAGGGAGCGATGTCTGTTTTCGCGTCGCCAGAGAAGTGCAGGGGGAACGAACCGCTTAGCCGTGCAGTGCACGAGGGCCATGTTGCCTGTTATCGGTTGTTTGTGGGGGAACCGCTACCACCCGAACAGGGGTCGCACGGACTTACAGACGCGTGCCTTGGGGGTAAGCCTTCGGGCCAGGGGGGTTTGCAAACACCCCTTGACAGGGAGTTCTGACCAAAATGTTCCAACGGTTCCCACCGGCTCACACAACGTGTGCCCGTGTTGCATTCCCCACTCTTGCGGCGTATCAAGATACAAGAGGCACTGCTTTGTATCCACGCGGAGCTCGCGTTGTAGGCATTAGCACAACAGTCTATGCCGCACTTGTCATCGGGCCCATGTTCGATTCGGAGCTTCACCGGGAGTGCTCCAAAGACGCCGAAGGTGCCTTATGAAGTTTCTGATCGCTACTGGAAGTGCCTTGGGGTTATGGGTCCGACTCCCAGCTTTGGCCTTGACTCGTGTGCTTTGGATCATGGCATGAGTTGCTCATTTAGGGGTTCTGGATTGTTAACTAACTGTTGTACCCGTCTTCTGCGGCAGAAAAATCTGGCGTGCGGACGTGCCATCGGTGGGTAGGGCGAAGAGCAGAACCAGTAGATACAGCGGCAATCGCACCAGTACATAGTGGCAATAGCAATGCTCCCGGCAATCGTCATCGTTGTGAACCCCCGGTGTCGGAAAAAAGGAGCCGTTGCAGCGACCGTGGAACGAGGAGGAGATGGAGTAGGTGAGTAGGACCTGAACCTCAGGAACAAGCAGTATAGTCGGTGTAAGAGTACGTGTGCTGCGACTTTGTTGCTGTTTGGGTGTTTCTCACATGACGACGCGGTTCCATATTCAGCTCCTTGTAGCTCGCTCGCATATCTGCGTAGTTGTGGTGTGGCTGTCGATTTGGCTGCAGTAAAGGCTTCGATCGCGAAGGAGACCCTATCATCTGGGAGCCCTGCTCAGATTCAGATTTCATGGTTTAGGCGAGGCGGGCAACTAGGAGGCACTACATAAAGACCACATTCAAAAGGTTGAAGGGTCTGGGGTAGAGGTTGAAGGGGCTTTAGGGTATGTTTTGTCTTGGCGGATCAGAAAGGGTTTACGGTTCCCAACTTCCTGTCCGGCAAGCTGGACCTTTCTTTTTTTTAGCTTCGCTTGCGGTCGTTCGGAGCCACCCCTTCGCCAGTTCTTGAACCTACCACTCAATAAACCAGGCGGGAGGGAAAACCACTCAATGCCAGCAGTGGGAAATCGAAACTGCAAGATGCTGAAGACGAGCTCCAGCTCGGTTCAGGCTCGAGGTTTGATGGGTGCTTGGATTTCGTGAGCTTCTAAAGCCTAAACCCTATAAAAGAAAAAACCTAAACCCTGCCTGGCTTGTCCGAGTTGTGAGAGTGTAAACCCTAAGCCCTAAACCCTCAAAGTTGGAGGGAACAGGAAGAGGAGCATGTTTGTGGGACTTGCTGGGCTTTGCCCCTGTGCATCCTCGATGCATGGTCGCTTCTGCTTGCCGGTGTGCTTTTATTAAAATGACATGGTGCAAACGATATTTTATAATACATATATATATATATGATATGATATATAGTTATCACTATATAAATATAATGACTAATGTTTTCTATACTGTGATATGAGCTGTAAGTTGGGTGGTTCTCCTTGTTTCACCTTTCCCGGATCTGGGCACTTGGCAATGCATGCGATTGCTTGCTATTGCAGTGGTGCCCAACGAGAGTGACCAAACGAGCACATGAACATAAAGTGTTGGAACCCAGCCGTGATAGATCAAGCACACCGAATAGTTCATGTTTGGGTGCTGTTTCATGTGTTTGGTTTGGTTGCTAATGCTGCTAATGTGCTACACACGCCTATGCAAAGGTTTGAGAAGTTGCCCCTGGCAGCGAGCAGCCTAAGGAAAGAGTTGGAGTCAGCCATGTGCCAACCTTGGCACAATTCTCCGAGGATTATGTATTCAAGCATACCATCTACGCTCAAGAGTCCTCCAGCTGCAGACCAGTCGAACAAGTGTAATCCAGACAATACTGATGGGTGGCATGGTGCTCGTCCTGCCGGCAAGCCTCCTTCCACCGAGGTGCCTCATGGCCTATCTTGAGTGCTTGCGGCAGCAGCGTCGGAAAGAGGGTAAGCACGACGGCTTCTTGGAACTTAATCGCTTCCTCTGTTGCTTACGACCTGCTCGATTTGTTTGTGCACACCATAGCGAGTTTGCCACGCCACTCCAGGAACAATAATCTACGATCTTTTCGCGGCACCTATTGAAACTGAAACTGTAAACTGGGGAAGAGTGAACAGGGGTTTGCCGATTCACGGATCTCTTGTACCGAGACTCCTTTCTGAAGACGTCGAGGTAAGAGTCGAACGTTGGTCCCAAAATCCTAGGGGTTTAGGGTTTAGGGCGATGCCGGAGCTTTAGACAGCCCGGACCCTCATAAAACCCTGAACCCGCTAACCGCGCCTGGCTTTGCCGAGCGAGTGGCCACAAGCTAGAACCAGAGACGAATGCGGAGACCGTAAACCCTCTTACGTTCGGAAGGCCTGTATGAGCTTATTATATGGAATTCTGTAGTAATTGTAGTAGTATACAACTATGGCACACTCAATAACACTTATGCGGCTTTTGTGGTATAAGCGATCAGTCAGAGGCTTTCGCTACACGTTGGTCCTCGATTTGGCTGGTATGAACCTCACCCACTTGGACCGACGTGGCCTGTCGCACTTCAGACTCACTACCCGGATACAGGCAGACGCTGGGATGCATGAGGAGTTTGATCCCTTAACCCTAAGCCCTAAACTAGGAGCTGGGCGGGTGGGGAAAAACCCTAGTTTAATGGTTTGGTTAGGGGGGTTAGGGGGCTTAGGCAAAGGGTTTAAGCGGAGCACATGAGAGCGGAAGCAGACCCCGTACACTGATAAAGCTGGTGATGGTGCTTGCACTTTGACTTTAGTTCTCGGCACATGCTCGATCTATTCTTCGATTTTGAGTTGTTTCTTCAGTTGTTATGCCAGTGGCTTGGGGGCACTTTCCCAATCTTGTTTCCAACAGATCTGTCCAGCGGAAGCAAAGTAGTAGCGCGATTTCCAGATTCCTGCTACAACGGTTGCCCGATCTTCCGGCAAGGACAGATACCCAGAGGTCCTCAAGAGGATCATCGCAGTTCGTGCTCCCTGGGTGTTCCCGGCAGTTTGGCGCATCGTGCGTACCTTCCTTGACAAGGGGACTGCGGAGACTTGGCCAGCGTAACGAAGCATGCAGTTGTTGATGTTGTTCCTACACCGAAAGAATGCTTTATCGAGGACAAAATGATGATTGTCCGAGCGGACGAGACTGAGCAAACTATCTTGCGGTACATCTCCCACGAGACTGTTCCGAAGGCACTTGGAGGAACCAAGCATTCGGGCGGACACTTGGCCTATATTTGGGTGACTGCACTTCTCATGTTGATGCTTCCTGTTTTCTGCCTAAAGCCCGAAGCCTTGAACCAAGTGGCGTTTCTTCATGTCTGCTCCTTGAGGTGATGATTACTGCAGTGATGTTATCGCACCGGGCGGACCAGTCCCTCAGTGGATCATAAACCGATACACGACCTGACACTCCAAGCTAGCACAGCTGGAGCTGCGGCTCGACGATGCAGAGACTAGTATAGGGGCCTAAGTGACTATCAATATTATAGGGGCCTGAATGATTATCAATTTTATTTTGGGGGTTCCTTACTTACAACTATTGTATAATCGGCCCCAACACCCCAATCGAATTATTAAGGACCCTATACTAGTGCGTGTTAGTATGATGGACTTCGAGTGTTCTCCATTGCTTCTATCGATCGCAGAAAGCAAGTCGAGTCAGCAACCTCTGGCGCAGCCCGCTCTTTTTCTCTGTAGACAGAGACTCCGTTCGGATGAACAGGGAGCTCCCTTGACAGGGTTGTTTGCTCCCGTCCCACCGGCTGCAGCTTTGATATCCCTGGATGATTACGTGCAGCACAATACCGCCACTGAGATATTCCGGATCCGGCATAATGTAGACGCCTGAAAGAACACTGGCTCTCTTCTTGCATAAGGATGTAAAGGAGGAGCTTACTATAGTCATTACATACAGGAGAGCGGGGCTGTGTCTTATCAGGGGTCTACATTACTTCCTGGATCCTGCTCGTTTAGGACCAGTTCCGACTGAGTTTAAGCAGCCTGGTTTGCCAGCAAATTTTGCTCCGTCACTCGTTGTATGGGAATCCACCTCACCATCATGAATGTCTATTTCTTGATGTTCTGGCATTTCAGTTCAGTTGATGCCTTGCGATAGCAGCCGCGGCTGGATCCCAGAGCTGCCGGCTTTCGTCCTGGTCGCTCCGGGACCATTGAACCATTGCACGAGCCCTCTTGGCACAAGCCAGGGATAGCGACTGCGCCAGAAAGCAACATCTGTGTGGGCTTCTTGGTGTTCATAACCGAGCCTACTCTTACTACTGCTGCTAACTGCTACTAGTGCTGCTGCTGCAGCCACTGCTACTACGGCTACTGCTGCTGCTACTACGACTTCCGGCACCCGCGACCGCTGCCACCAAGTACATCACCACTGGACCTGTGCCTGTAACGATTGCTACTGCTAGTGCTTGACATGTGCCAACAAAATGCACTGGCGTGCAAAATAGCCAGGGAGGTGTCGAATGGGGAGATTGGAACTGCAGGTAGAGCAGAGTGGTCTGCACAGCCTTCAAAAAGCCAAGCAACCAATCAGAAGGTTTTGAGACAAGTACGGATCACAGTCAGTAGTAATTAAACGTGATGTTATCCTGCACCGGAGTTTGGCCTGATGACAGGGCCTGATGAGCACGCGCAAGAACAAGCAAACGCTTACTGTACCTCTGGAAGCAGACTGACGTCGGCAGAAATGACAAACCGTTAGCGGGTTTCAGAGCAAGCCCGCCCTGAAGCTGACAAGGCGATTTGTGTTGTATTTGTCTGGTTACACGATACGAGAAAAGCGAGCTAAGAAACGATGACCCAGATTTCCCTGTAAAACGATGAGAGTAAATAGTATGAGAATGACACGAATAGCGGTCCCAAAAATCGTACGGGATTTCCAAGCCCCCCTCAGGTGTTTTTCAGGTTTGCTGTTGGAAAGGTCCCCACAACTTCCGAGGCAGAGGGGTATTGATGCGTGTAAAGCTCATTCAAGTAATCACGTGATAACATCAGCCAGCAGCAACAGCCCACATAGTCCTGCGAAAGCATGCGCTGCCGGTGCGCATGCTTATCCAGAAGCACCGAAGGCGACCGGCCCATAATCTGATCCAATGCCTGTTAAGCAGGACCACCTCGTTGAGTGCTACAGCGCCGCAAGATTGGAATCACGCCTGGGTCTGCTGCAACTCGCCAAAAGCAGAATGGCCACGGAGCACAGACACCGCAGTTCCCATGTCGTCTAGTTTGGGGTCGTTGTGAGGATTCGGGTCGCCTTGGAACATCTCGATTGTTTGAGATACCTCCTCACGCTACAATCAGAGTTCATGCCAGCCAAAAGCCGTGACTTTTAAATCATGCTGCTATTGTTATTGGTACCATATGAAGCTCATCCATTCATGAGGCTACTGGTACCATTGTCCTGGCTGCAACCAACCATGCAAACTGTGCTTAGTCGACCAGGGTCTGAGCATGCTTTGCTTCGCTAGCGAGAGAACCGGGGCAACGGTAGCAAGTATGCACACTTGTCAACATGTCTGGGTTTGGTTCTTCGGGCTGCAGTGCAGTCCTGAACACGTTCAGGGTGACCATAGTAAGAAGCATAGGTTCCAATTGTAGTCGGACATCGTCGTAGTCATCGTATGCCGGTCAGACTGGTCAGAACATCCATCGTCGCAGGAACGAAAGTGAGGCGTGGAATCAAAGCAAGTACACTTGGCCTGACCCCAACAATCCTCGAAGTGCCATTATTTGATACTGTAAAAGTCAGTTCCACTCGAAACAGGCAGGGCCATCTTGTGGTACTTGCGATGCTTCTGGGATGCGACTACACCCTCGGTGTCCACGGAGTGGGAATTGTGAACGGGTGCCCTGGCTGACCGGTCCTTGTGCCGATTTTATATTCTGATGGACCTTCCTCCATCTAGAATGGAGCACTTGGGGAAGAGAGTGGTGCCAGCAACATCCAATAAACCAGTATGGATGATTCGACTCGCTGTGTTTCGAGTCCGCCTGCTGGCAGGTTGGAGATTGTTCGCGCCTTCTCGCCCGAAAGAGATGGCATGACCAGCCTGGAGGCTCGAAGAGACAGTTGGCGCGAAGCCAATGTCACATTAATAGATGGCGGCGCGTTTGTGCGACCGAACAATCCTCAGGCAAGAGCCTTTCCGCAGGTATGGCTCCAACGCCTCAAAGACTTCCGCTCTTGGTCCCAGAATGTCGCCAACTGGGGTGAGGCACTGACTGAGGGGCCGCCCTTGTGAGTTTGAGCCTGTGAGTGCTGCTGCCAGGCGGTTAATCGTGTCAGGGAAGATGATTAGCTGCTCCGCTACCGCTAGCTTAGATTGCATTCTGCCTGGCCTGGCAGGAAAGCGCAGGCATCGTGGATGCAGATGGCAAAGCAGTCGCAGAGCAGGGTGCTTAGCGAGGCTCAGGAATGCTGCGCGAGGAGGATTCTTAAGTCTTAAGTCAGTCAAAGGCAATCCGCTGCTTCATGGAAATCATGATTGCCAGGCTTGGTGCCAACATTCTCGTCTCAGGGGCATTGATGGAATGAAAAAGCTCTGGGGCCTGGGACGGTATGGCGGCATCATGTCATGATTCTTGCCCACATTGCCTTTAGCCCAGGACTGTTCCCACTAAACCAAGCAAACGCGCATCAGAAGTGAAGTTAGTTCGTAGGTAAGCATGTTCCAATGGATCCTTCCAGCCACGGGCTTGTGGAGCAGCCTGCATCACTCTGGGATGGCGAGGCTCGAGCTGGCCGTTTGTTGCAGTACCATCAACTGCTACTGCTGCTTGTGCTGCCACTACTACTACTACTACTACTACTACTACTACTGCTGCTACTACTACTACTACTACTACTACTACCACCTACCTGCCTACCTACTACCTACCTACCTACCTACCTACCTACCTACCTACCTACTTACCTACCTACCTACCTACCTACTTACCTACCTACCTACCTACTACTGCCAAGTGGGTGACAAAAAACCTACTCCGACTCCCACTGCTACTAGTACTAGTACGACGACGACTACTACTACTAGTATTAGTACTAGTACTAGTACTGGTACTAGTACTAGTACTAGTACTAGTACTAGTACTAGTAGTAGTAGTAGTAGTAGTAGTAGTAGTAGTACTACTACTACTACTACTACTACCAACCCTCCTACTGCTGCTGCTGGTACTGCTCCTCCTGCTGCTGCTCCTGCTGCTGCTGCTCCTACTATTCCCGCTATTCCGAATCTTCACGCTATTCCTATTATTCCTACTGCTACACGATTACTACGATGACTATGTCTACGACTACGGCTACAGCTGCCGCCATTGCTGCCAATGCCACTACCACTCGGGGCAGGAGAGCATTGCAGTTGATGTCGCTTGAGAACTGTCGTTCGTGACAGGGAATTGATGCCAGTGGTCGTGGGTTGCCTGTGATTCGACATGCCACGCATGATGGGCATGCGGCTGTCACCCTAGGTTTTGTGTAGAGCCATTGTGGCCCAACATTCCGCATCTCTTTCCTGATCTTGCCGGCGCAGAGTGATTCAGGTGGGTTGGAACTTGCCATAACTTGCTCATGACTGGGCCGTGTGTGTGTGTGTGTGTGTGTTTGTGAGCAAGACAGCCTGTAGATGTCGCGAGGCATCATGGGCTGCTCTTCTAGTGTGAGTGTGGTGCGCGACGAAGTGGAAGACACCGGCATAACTCGCGTCATATACACGGACCGGGCAAAGTCCGTTTTCCAGATTGGCAATGCACTTCCTAAGGCCAGTAGCTAAATTAGTCCAATGGCATGGAAACACCTGCAGGACCGCACTGGACAAAAGTTCGTCCAGCATTCCACTCCATTCAAGGACTGGGCATGCGGCATGAGCATGGTCTGGGTCGAACATTGCAGTGGCTTCCTCCTTCTCGCTTTGACCCAGGAGGGCATTCGACGCTTCAATTCCATGCGTATCAGCGACAAAGATGCTTCTGGAATAATCGTCCCGCTTGCAAGTACCCACAACCAGCATGTGAAGCGGCAGCTTGCATGCAGCTTGCGCAACTTCGGCGAGTTGTTCGAGTCGAAAGGACAAGGGGCAGGGGTGGGTTCAGCTGCTCCAAAGCTAGCACAGTCGACATGCTGAAGACATGGGTCGTCGAGTGCTTAGGGCACACCGAGGCTCGACAAGTTTTTGGCGGCCATAGAGCAGAACCCGAGATTGCTGGAGAAGAGGGTGCTGCCCAGCCAACTTCCGAAGCACTGCAGCCAAGCAGCGCTCCTGAAAGTTGACCAGGACCTATAGCACTGCCTGTGGTAGTAGCTGGTAGTTGCGCTTGAAAAGCCTTCGGTGATCAGGAGGTCTCTGGGCAGAGCCTGGCGGACGTCAGCACAGACGTGTCCAACTTTGCCTCTAGCCCGGGCAGCTTTGCATAGAGGACCGCAACTTTCCCTAGCCTGCGCTCGTCCGCCAGCTCTGATGCCAAGTGACAGTTTGGGTTGGTAGGATGCTCGAAACGGCTTCAGGTGCAGGCCGTTGGGTTTAAGCTTTGCCAGACAGCACGCTGGCATCTTGACATCAATGAAGAGCAGATGCATATTTGCAGACGGGCGGCGCGGGTTCACTTTTTTTGCCAGGGTTTCGTTTCTGTGTTTCATATAGAAGCTCCGACTCTAGGCTAGGGTCGACCTAGGCTAGGACCTTGCCTAGGGTCTAGAGTCTAGGAGAATCTCGGGGTAGACCTTGGAAGGTCTAGGGCGAGGCTAGGGGTAGGCCTAAGGATAGGCCTACGCATACTGGGGTAGGCCAGGCTTGGGGTGGGCCTAGGGGTAGGCCTGGGGCTAGGCTAGACCGAGGCTAGGGGGAGGCCTAGGGGTAGGGCTAAGGCTACGCAGGGGTAGACCTGGTTGGGCTAAGGGTTGGCCTCGGGCTGGGGTAGAGGTAGGCCTAGGAACATAGGGCTAGGCTAGGGGTAGGCCTAGGGTAACAGGACTAATAACAACAATACAAGCAATAGTAGTAATAATAGAAATAAAAGTGACGTCTTACTCGTGATAATAGTAACCATAGTAGTAATAGTTAAAACAGTAGTAATCGTAATAAGAAAACAGTAATAATAGTCGTAACAATAGTAATAATAGCAATATAGTAATCCCTACTCCTAGGCCTACCCCTAGCCTAGGCCCCGGGGCTTCTATACCCTGTGTTTGAACCTGGGACAGGTTTCAACGGCATGGACCAAGTCTTGAGTGGCTTGCTGTATGAGGGCCACGCAGTCCGGCCACCTTTCCTCAAGTGGCGAGTGAAGATTATCGAGCAGACAGCTGCCGTTCGCTATTTGATAACTCTGACCATGCAGCTCCAATGTGACTGCATGGGTCAGTCCAGTTTTTTTAGTCCCGGTTTGGCAGCGTGCCGAGGCAAGACATGCAGCTGCCAAGAAACGGGCACACAAACTGGAGCCCAACAGGTCCAACTTGTGTGGTCCATCTTCCATCATTTTCCACCCTTGCACTCCGCACTTCCGGACGCTGGAGCCAATCTTGGCGCAGTGAGACTAGGGCCTTAGGCATTCGTTCGCCTTCCGGTTGAAGATTGAGTTTTGTCGTTGGCCTGAGTGTCCGAGAGATTTGACTTGATGGTGCGAGGCCTCTTCCTGTG